AATTTTCCGGTTGTTATAAAATGTCACTCTTCAACCAAAAATGGGTTTTATATATATGTGTGCGTGTTTGTGTGCACACGATTGTTGCTCTCCTTATACCCGGTTTCATTCCTGTGCCACGAGCAGCTTGGAAATTGAAGTTGCATTTCTTTCTTTAAGATAAATAAATAAATAAAGCAATTTGAAAGGCTAGTTTGTTTTTGAAGGTGCAACACCATGGATATTATCCTCTGAAGTATGCCCCACTAAATTCTGAATGCCAGGTAAGAGTGAATAAGATTGCAGTTAAAATCGGATTAATATTGAATCTAAAACCATCATCGATCAACCCAATTTCAGGGGAAATTCATTGAGTTTTCATACTCCTATATAGAGAAGGGGGGGTTATTACAGTCTCATGACACCCTTAAAGACAGTGAGCTTTATCCTGTCTAGTACGTACTCATTTGTTCAGTTGTGTAAATTGTTCTCAGCTGAGAAACACCAAGGGATTTAGGCACACAACCTCAGCATATATGTACATTTTGAATAGTGGGAGGCTAAGATTCAGTGTGGAATAGTTGTTAGGGGGCTGAGATTCTTACTTGGACACGCAATTCACTGGGAGACCATCGGTCAGTCACAGGGTCCAAATTGACCTACCTTATAGCAATGTTGTGAGATAGGGGAGGGCCGTATCTCTCTCTCTCTCTCTCTCTCTCCGAGAAACACCAAGGGATTTAGGCACACAACCTCAGCATATATGTACATTTTGAATAGTGGGAGGCTAAGATTCAGTGTGGAATAGTTGTTAGGGGGCTGAGATTCTTACTTGGACACGCAATTCACTGGGAGACCATCGGTCAGTCACAGGGTCCAAATTGACCTACCTTATAGCAATGTTGTGAGATGGGGGAGGGCCGTATCTCTCTCGCACACACACACACACACACACTCTTAAAGGTTGTTGGAGGAAAAGAGTAAGCCGAACGCATGTGAATAAATCAATGATCAGGAAATGCGGTGGATCTAGTGGGACTGCTATACAACCGTATGGTGATCCTTCATGGGCATCGCAGCAGAACTTTTTGAGCTTTGCAATGTAAATTTGATTTCTCAGGCTGAAAATGAAACTTCTGGGAAAGAGATGCCAAAGAAACAGAACTGGCTGAATTTGAAGTATAAAAAAGATATGCCAGAGTCACAAACTGGAAAAATGAAGATGGCTGTTTACAGCAGGTTGTCAGGCTGAGAACCGATTTCGGCTTTTCCATCTTCATCTCAGTTAGTTCGGACTCTACAGCCTGCATTTTCTGCGCATCTCTTTTAACTGGGAAAGAGGCTTTCAGAAAGCCAGCGGTCACTGGCTGACCACAGGGCTTGATTGTAAAAAAAACAAGGACAATGTTCAAACCCTGGTATCTTCCAGTATGGCTGGTGGGGAAGGCAGCTCCATCAAAAACAGATTTTCTTTTACAATTAGTGATGGTTCCATGTTCCAGCTCAGAACAGAATAGCTTTCATACTCTTCTTAAATTGGATAAGGAAGGTCTACAACCCAGTGAAATATTCTTGAATGTACACTCAGCTCAGTTCTGACCGTGAACTAAAAGCAGTTCTTGACTGAGGGAGGGGGTGACTCCCCTTGAAATTTGGGGGGTGATTCCTCTCCTATCTTGGTTTCTGAGTTGTCCATCATTGCACTGAGTTTGTATACATAACAAACCAGGGCCGAGGAACCTGTGACCCTCCAGATCTTGTTGAATCACATCTCACATCACTACTTCTCTGATGTGGACATGCATCCAATAGTCTCTGTGAATCATCCCTATACTAAAGAAAGATCTAAAGAGGCAAGGCTAGGAAATGCTACCTTCTGTGTTTCCAGATGGCAAGGGCACGACACAGCTGGAGAAAAGGAGGGATAATGGTTTGGCTCCAGGATGTTCCTTCTTTGGAACATTTAAAGCTGATTCCGTGGATAGACTAGCCCACCTCTCTTGGAGAGACACATAATTATGTTACCCTGGACTGTACTCAACTCCAATTCCAGGTTAGTGCTGTGCTTAGTCTTAGCGTTGAAATTTTTTTTTACAAGTTTAGAAAGAGAAGGTGGAAATTGCTTTTTTCAATCTTCTGACACTGCGTTTGCTGTAAATTGCCATCTTAAATTCCTAACTTCAGTTCCTTGAAGGAGGGGAAGTCAGGATTAAGTGCTTGTAAATGTTAATGGATGAAATCATTTAACTCCCGACATTTTATTATTTTCCCTTTGGATCAAATGATGCATTAGAGATAGCATGTTGTTCAGAAAGGGAACTCCTTAAGTTCTGAAAAATATCTCTTTGTCACAAAAAGAGCTTCTCAGATCTCTGGGAAATTAACTTGCATTTGGTGATTGGTCACCATGAGGTAGCCACAGGCGCCATTTGCAAATAGAATTGCTCATTGACAAGGAAACATATACAGTACTGGAAACATTGATGTGGTTTCAGCTTCTAATGCATCTTTAACATGTCACCTGTCCTTTTACCCTTATTCAGATGTTGTAAATGTTGGTGTTGTGAACTAATGGGGAGCGCCAAGCCTCAACCTCTCCTCTGGCATATTCTTCATGGTTTCAGCGCAAGCCGCAAGGAGAGGTCCCTATTCACATGTACACTCTACACGTGACCCAGAATTTTGCAAGCTAGGATCTTTTTCTGTTGTGTTTAACCGTCCACCAGAATGTCAGCAAGAGCTGCTTATGGTTCCTCAGCACTGCATATGCTGAAGGTATTCTTAATCTCTATCGGAGCTGTACCCAGATACTGAAAACGGGATGATTCTTGGCAAAAGTTAAGCACTTGGTGGATGCAAAACATTAACTGCAAAGAGAATTCTACATAACAGGCACAGTATGCTCATATATAACACTGAGATGGCCATAAAATCTTCTTTGCAGTCTAAAGCTTTTGTCTGAAGAAGTTTATTTCCATGACAGAGGTGGACCACATGAAGCAGGAGGCCATCCAGAGTGGAGTGCCACCTCCACAAGACTTTGGCACATTAAAAAAAAACCTCTTATAAAATCCCAGATTTTTGTTTCAAAAAGTTCCTTTGTGCCTCATAAGGAGAGTGGGGATGACACATATTTTGAGGGGCTCTCCAACACTCTTGGGGACCCCCACCTCCAGCAACCAACAGTGTTTAAAAACGATGGCAACAACAGCAGCAACAACAATTAGGGCAACGAGAGGGATTTTTCCATTTAGCAATTTTCAGGAATACATTTTGGATAGATACGGATTTCAGGAGATGGCACGGCCGTACATGGTCTCAGATTAAATGTGTTCAGACTGTGGATTTCTGGAGGTTGCCCATTCCAGACGTATGAGAATGTGGGAACATTGTTACTAGGGGATAGAATGAATAATTATAATTCCAAACATCATCTTGTGCAGCCAACTCTACCGAGATTTTCCAGCAGTATCTTCTAATGTGATGGCCTCCAGCTATTAGGGACAACAATGCCCACTATTCTAAGACATTATAGATGAACTGAGGTCCAACAGGTTAGATGGGCTTCACATTGGGTGAGGTTGCTATAATGTGAATGGGACAAAACCATTCTCTACAGGAGGCTTTGAGAGGAGGCTGTTAATCTGAGGACAGTGAATATACATGCCTTAGGGTTGCATATCTTAAATAGCAAAGGACCAAACCACTCCTGCTGGGTATTTCAGTGATTCTGACAAGGTTCTTGTTATTGTTTTTATTTTGTATGAAGGTGACCACAGAATCCTCTGTCTTCAACAGATGGGGTCGTGCACAATCATAATGTCAGATGTATAGCCCTGTCCTGCTTATGTTGATAATGTAGGGTTGTGTTGGCAAAACTGCTAGACTGCAACATTTTTCATGTCTGGATTTCAGCTGGCAGCATGCAGGAGGCCTCAGTTTACACTGAGGTTGAGAAACAGCATCTGTTGAGCAAACCTTGTACTGGTAAACAACAGTCGGTGCTGCAGATGATATGAACAATTCAGCAAAGTTTATTCCCAGGTTTCAGGAAACTGATTGAATCAGGATCCTGCACTAGCACACAGACAAGAGTGCTGACCTTTGTTTCTCTTTCTTATTTAGGAGACAGCTTGTCCGACCATCAAACAGGACAAAGACATAGCCTTGCCTGGTCCATCTTGAGGCATCAACCAGCATTTTAAAATATACGCATCTCCTGAGGCGAGTTGGCAGAACGCTGGGTTTCTTACAGCTTCAGCAACTTTGCTGTACATCTCAAGAGCATAAAGCATGTCATGGATTATGATGGCTATGAAGATAATGGACATGGAACAGACTAAACCAAAATAATATCCTTGCATTCTTCTGTTGTTCCATCTGTGAAGACCCTTGGAAGCCAGCCATGGAAAGGACACAAATAAATGGGAGGAAAGAATGTACAAGTGTCTCAAGATCCATTTTTCCAGTGGGAGAAGCTTAAAAAAAGACACTCTGGATGCTGAAACCCTATCTGGAAACATGTGCGTTTTTTCTCTCATTTAGCGACAGGAAAGATTCTATGACTTGATGGCTGTTTGTTTCTTTATAAGAGAAAACCAAAACAAGCATAAACAGGGAAGACAGCTTGGGCTCCTCATCTAGGTGAGGAGAACATCAAAGAATGGGTTCCAAAAGCACAGATTTGCACTGGCGTTGATTGCATGACCAAAAATAAATACATTTAGAGCAGATATCAAGGAAGAAATGTGGATTTCCAAATATGTTCCTCAGCCAAGGTTTTCCTTCCTGGTTCTGTCTTGATAAAACAAGTTTCATATTTCCATGTTGTGTTTATCAACAATGTGGAAATAAAGTTTCTCGCAACGCTACCAAATATTTGCGTTTGGCTCTTTCAGAGAAAGAGCCGAGTGAGTCACAAATACATGGGATGAACATTAACCAGCTTTGATAATGCTGAGCCCTGAAAACGTCTCTTCCCCTGACTGCTTAAACTGCACGCAGGCTGTAGGGGAAGTCAATGTTTCCAAGGCCATACTATTAGGGGTCATCTTTGGTGGGCTGATCCTCTTTGGCGTCCTGGGCAACATCCTGGTCATCCTCTCAGTCGCCTGCCACAAACACCTTCAAAGTGTCACAAATTACTACATTATCAATTTGGCCGTGGCTGACCTCCTCTTGACTTCAGTTGTTCTCCCCTTCTCGGCTATTTTTGAGATTTTAGGTTACTGGATCTTTGGGAGGATCTTCTGCAACATCTGGGCAGCGGTGGATGTTCTCTGCTGCACCGCTTCCATCATGAGCCTTTGCGTCATCTCTATAGACCGATACATTGGGGTGAGCTACCCGTTGAGATATCCTGCCATAGTGACAGAGAAAAGGGGGGTCCTTGCTCTTCTATGTGTCTGGGCTCTGTCCCTCGTGATATCCATAGGGCCCCTCTTTGGCTGGAAGCAACCAGCTCCAGAAGATGAAAGGATCTGCCAAATCAACACAGCCCCTAGTTATGTTTTGTTTTCTGCCCTGGGATCTTTCTACCTCCCCTTGATCATCATATTGGTGATGTACTGCCGGGTATATGTGGTGGCCAAAAAAGAAAGCAAAGGGCTATCTTGTGGCCTGAAGACAGAGAAGTCCCATTCGGAAGAAGTGACGCTCCGCATCCACTGCAAAAATGCCACGGAAAACCCTGGATCTACACCCAGCACCAAGCACAAATCCCATTTCTCAGTGAGGCTTCTGAAGTTCTCCAGAGAAAAGAAAGCTGCAAAGAGCCTGGGAATCGTTGTGGGATGTTTCATCCTGTGCTGGCTCCCTTTCTTTTTAATCATGCCCATTGGTAAGTAATTCCAATGTGTCGACTGGGATGAGAAGGGGATGGAGTAGCTGTGGTGTTTTCATAAATATATAAGATTCTGGTTGAGATTCTCAGATGATGCAAATAAGGTGGTTGGTGTTCCTGTCAATTTAGACTGTTTATTAAACTATATAAAAGGAGGAAACCTAATGCTGATATAGTTGTATATATACTATCATTAGGAAAAGAAATTCCTTAACTGATGGAAGCATTTGATGGCCAGAGCGGTTGCTCTTTTCACCTCACATAGTTGCAAGTTGGCTTGCTTTGCTTTGTCATTAGTCTTTGAGAACTGAACATGGTCTTCCTTTCAAAGTTGGATTTCTCAGACTAGAGATGTTGACTAAATTTTGACTGCAATAGTAATGTGATTTCATCTTGAAGCCCACAGATTTGTTCACGTAGGCCATGAGTACTTAACTCTTAAAAGTCTGGATTTAAATCCTGTTCCACCATGTTAGCTCTGAATGAGCAATTTTTTCTAGAAAGCTGCTCTCTTTACCAAATGCATGGCAGGCTGATGGAGATATTCCTCTTCCCGCTGGAAATAGCTGTACTGTTGAATATGGGCAAATGTTTTATTTCTGTCCTTTTATCCAAGGACACAAAACAGTGCTGTAGGCAAAACACATTGTGCTGCAGCTTGGTCTTGATGGATTTTCAAGTGGTAAGAACTGAACTGGGAAACATTGGATGGAATCCTATTCAGAGTTGCATACGGTTTGCATAATGTACCATGGCTACTTGTGGCTACCTGGTGAAGTGCTGGCGCTTCTTTCATCATGTTCCTGTTGACATGGTTGTCTTGTCTGAGATATGCCCTGGCACCTTGTCAATTAGCTGTGGCAAGTTACACAAACCTTAAGTGAACACTTAGGTCCCACTGAGTTCCATTGATCTCACTCCCAGGAGACTGGAAGAAAATATGCAGCATATTTTGTTTTCTCATTTGCTTTGGGGTGTTCTGTTTTTTCTCATTCAAAACCACAACCCCTGTAAAATGCCATATTTTTCCATGTATAAGACTATTGTCTAAAACCTTTAGACTAAAAATTGAGGGTCGTCTTATACAGGGAAGTAACCTGAGGAAAGAACAAAAATAAGGGGAGGGGAAAGCAGGAATCAAAGTGATCCTGCAGGGCTTTGATCCCTGCTTTACCCTCCACTTGCTAAGCCCTACTTAGATTTCTTAATTTTGGGTTAGAAAAGTGGGGGGGCGTCTTATATACTGAAAAATATGGTAATATGAAGTCCTTCCATCCATGCATGTCCAACAGCCAGAATGAAAGCAAATGGCTTGGATGTGGTGTCATTAGGCTATGTTCAGAAATGCTTGTGCATCAGCTTGTTGTTTGACGCCTGATGTCCAAGAACGGACTCCATCAACAATACATTGGGCTAGGGGGAAAAGTGAAATCATCCCTTAGAAAAGTTACTTTTTTGTATGACTATTCCCGGAATTTTCCTGCCAGCATCACTGATGGCTGGTCGAGAGATTCAGGGAGCAATAGCAACAAAAAAATTACTTTTCCAGGTTCTGGGTGAAATAATATTAAGCCTGTGGTTTCCAAATGGCGAAAGCTGACTTGTTGGCTATGAAAACTGCCAGAAGCGTGCATATGTCAACCAGCCTGCAAATTGATCCGAAATCAGAGATCTATGAAAGCAGAAATAAATGTGTTGTGGGTTTTTTTGAGAAAATTATAGGAATGGTTTGTGTGAGTAGGAATCCGTAATCTCCAAACTGGATCCAGAGGACACCTTCATTCTCTAATCTCTCTCTCTCTCTCATTCTCTCCCTCCTTCCTCCTTCCTTTAAATAGTGATTTTTAGTATCTTAATTATAACTGAGCAGATTATTGGCTTAGTTTGGATGAGACGGTAATCCTTGGTCTCCACGTTGAGTCCGGAATTCTGCCTCCCTCCCTCCCTTTCTCTCTTGCTCCTCCTCTCTCCTTCTTCCTTCATTTAAATAATGATCTTTCGTACGTTAATTATAACTGAACGATATAAAATACAGATTTCCACAACATTAATTTTTGGCGAAGAGCTATGCACAATTCTTTTTCCTATTTAGGGATTATTTTGAATGAAGAACTGCTCTATGAATCCAGGATATTAGATTAGTTCTAGTTGAAACCCATTAGAGCAGGGGAATTGCAAGCTAGCTAAATCCTTACTTGAGGTGTAGCCAAGGAAAGCACCTAGGGATATTGGGAATCACATTTGGGTGCTGTTGGTGGAAACCTGAATCTTTCATTTTAAAGGCAACATACTACAGTGCAGTTAACATATACTGTACAGTACTAATAATATTACAGGGTTAACTTTTCATTGGTTTTTATAACCTTTCTATGTTCTTTTGCATTTGAAATTGGCCGATGTGTATCTGGAAAGGTCACATGACCATAATAATCTGATTGATTGATTGAAATATTACAAGGTACTACTTTTATGTAGTAAAATCAAAAAGTGACCATACTAAGATACAGTAATTTCTAGATTATATAAAGAGTGAATTTTTAAAAAAGAAAGGAGGTTTCAAGACAACCCAATTGACAACCAAACTACAACTAATGAAAATCAGAGTTTATTTATGATCTTAATTGTGAAAGCAAACATGGACACATTTGTCATCTATTTATCTTTGCTTTACATATACAGTATATGCATATATATTAGCTTCCATATAATTGCCAAGGTAATTTCTTCTACCATTTCCACTTGTTAGCAGATATTCTCAGTTGCTCACACCTGTGTGTTCTTCAAAGTCTGTTAATTGAGGCCCGTCACTACCTTCTCCATGAGTTTTAGGGTGGCCTTTTTCAGTTCTGTTGTCTGATGCTAAGAAATTACCAACACGACCAAATTAGGATATAGGAGTTGGGAAGATGATGAAATATTATTCTCAACAATACAAATGGCAAGAGTGAATTCACCAGGGACCAAGTAGCATTAATGCATTAATTAATAAGAGAGGCCAGCTTTATCTCTTTATGTCTTCTTGTTTTGTAATTTGGTTACAAATTACTGGTACTGGGACAGATGCTTAAGGAGGCCTAAAGTCTTATTAGATGGAGTTGGTTGGGTTAAGGGAGAGAAGGTTTATGTTAAGAGTTCATTAATTATGAACTACATGATTTTAGGATACCAGTTCTTTTACTGCACTGTTATGTCTTAAATAACAAACTGTTTCAAAAACACTGTTTTTCTAAATAAGCCTTTTAGAACAATGGTGCAGAATAACACCTATGTTTTATATCATTTGGTTAACTGTTCATCACTAGACTTTTTCTTTTGAATGTGATAATAACGACATTATTTATCTCTAGGTACTCTTCTTTTGTGAATAATTAAGTTCATTGTTTTCAAGTGGCATGACATTTCTCAAATTAGACATCACTATTTATTAAGATTAAACATGCTTCATAATTCAAAATGTGACTTTTATCTTGTGTGCTGTGCATATATTCTGTATAATATGCAGTTGGGTTAATCTTATAAGCTTTGTATATGCATATATGCAATTTATGCATACATTCATAAAGGTTATGTATATGATCAAACCTTCTGCAAGAGCTTAATAGTTACAAAGTACAATTGCACAGACTTGCTTCCAACAAAATGAAACAAGGATTTTTTTTCTTTCCTTTTCATAATACAGACTTTTGGTTGCTAACTAACCAAGCTTATATATTATTGATGGCAATTATGAGCTACAGTTAATTTTCTTAAAGTGATCATTTATTTCCCCAACATGGCAAAAAAAGAGAAGATAATGAGACAAATTGTGCCAATTAACCAGCCAGCCTGAGCAGCTTATTAGCACAGATAACAAATTGTCTTCGAAAAATCCATTTGCTCTGCAATCTTACGTTATGTTTACTCAGAAATAACTCCCACACAGGTTCAGTGCAGCTGCATTCCTATAAGGACATTTAGCCTTGGAACCTCAGAGCTACATATGTTTGCTCCTCAAGTTTGTTTAGTGCTCAAGCTACAATGATAAATGTGCTTATAGGAATGAATGTAATAATTTCACAGGTACTCAGTTTTATGCATTTTTTCAACAAAGTGCCACATAACTTCAAATCTGTGGGCACAATCTTTGGGAAGCACCCCCACTACAAGGGTAAAGAGTGTGCAAGATTAGGGTAGTGGACTTGGGACTGCTGTCAATAATTTCAGTGGTATTTCTGCACAACCATCTCCAGTTATTTTTATGAACCTTGACTGACTAACTTGATGGCTGACAATCCTGCATAGCTAATGGTTTCGGCATCTGGCTGTGGATCCAGAGGTTCGGAGTTTGATTCCCCACTTGTGCCTCCTTTAAAGAGTGTGCAAGATTAGGGTAGTGGACTTGGGACTGCTGTCAATAATTTCAGTGGTATTTCTGCACAACCATCTCCAGTTATTTTTATGAACCTTGACTGACTAACTTGATGGCTGACAATCCTGCATAGCTAATGGTTTCGGCATCTGGCTGTGGATCCAGAGGTTCGGAGTTTGATTCCCCACTTGTGCCTCCTTGACAGGGGCTGTGGTTGACAATCCTGCATAGCTAATGGTTTCAGCATCTGGCTGTGGATCCAGAGGTTAGGAGTTTGATTCCCCACTTGTACCTCCTTGACAGGGGCTGGACTTCATGATCCATAGGGTCTTTTCCAGCTCTACAGTTCTATGATATACCCATCAGATCATCCAGTAATTTCTGTAGCTAAGGCTGTAATCCCGTACCCACCTTGTTGGCTTCACTGAGATCCCAAAGTACTTAGGCCTGAGCAGAGGTGTCCACTTCTCCAACAATACTGGTTTTTTTTTGGGGGGGGGCAGAGCTTAGTTCAAAATCTGTATGTCACTCTTATGCCCCAACTCTTATGCAAAAACTTAACTACAAAGCTTAAACAGTTGGTTCACACATACACACACACCCCTCCCTCAGACCTGTTTCAGCTTCCCAGCATCCTCCAGCACTGTCC